GTATAAAGAGGGGAATGGGGGGGGCACAAATATGTCACTGCTCCCTTTCTCTGGCAGGTTTTCTTACTAAAGTGCTAATGGGATTTCAGGTCTCCTGAAGCCTGGGAGGGTTTTCCTCAGTCCTGCAGGATTTCTTGGGCTTCAGCCAGGAATTGAGAGGCACTATCTTGCTCTGCCTACGGAATGTGCTAAAGCATTTTTGTAGTTGTTTGTGAAAGCAGGACCAAATAGCTGGACTCCATGGAGACTCCAGTGTGCGGGCATTGCTTCTTAGGTTGGGAACACTAATTTCGTTTTATTTCCCAACTTGGGAATGGTGTGTGTTTTGTTGGAAATCATCTCAAACCACCCCGAGAGAAATGCACTTCTTTTGAAAATTGTGGACATTCAGTAAATTGTTATACATATCTTGAAATATATAATGTTTGAGGTTGGCCCCCTTTTTTGATGTTTGTTTATAAAAATGTTAAAAGCTCAGGAATTCCATAGAGAATTCTATATAGCTCTGACAATATACCTTGTTCTAATGCCCTTGATCTAAAAAAGCGCAGCAAACACAAATAGATAGATCCTTATTTTTAGTTACTAGGTCTTAGGCATTTTGTTGAGTTGCTTAATTGCCTGTCTGTTAACATTGTCTCTGTTGCACAGTAGACACTTCACAATCCTTTTTATTTTCTTTAAAAAAAAAATGGCAGTTTTTATGTTTGTACTTTGGGTTGTTTTCTGGATGGAACATAGGACCAAGCATTCCAGAGAAACCTTAGTTTGTCTGCTTTTCCACATGGCTGATTTTCCTGCAGTCAGCATGGTTCTTGAAAGAGATAGAAAAATGTATTTGCCTCCTCATTAAAATGCCTTTTAAAAACAAAACAAAGCAAAAATAAGACCCCAAACAGAGTTTCTCTATGTAGCCCTGGCTGTTTGGAACTTGCTCTGTTTACCAGGCTGGCCTTGATTGAACTCAGAGATCCACCTGCCTCTGCTCCTGAGTGCTGGGATTAAAGGGGTATGCCACCCCACCCAGCTAGGATGCTTTGTTTTTAACATTATCATAGGTTCATATAAACTAGAAATCTGTTATCTTAAGATTTTTGTCATTGTTTGCATGTGTGTTTGCATGGTCACAGGTTCATATGAGCTTGCACTTGTGTTTACGAATGACGGCGTACCTTATTCTAATGTCTTTAAGGCAAAAATGCAGCAAATGCCAATAGATTTCCCTCTGCCCTGTTGTTTCTGGCGACTGCTCTCAGGCTGCTGTCGGAATGGTTGCAGGTGCTGTTCCCTCTGTCTGGAATGTTCTTCCTTCCTACAGACCCAGACTTGGTGCCCAGCAGGAGCCAGGGCCTGGTCGACATCCTGGTCGCAGCTGGCAGTGCAGTCCACTCAGGTTGGCATGACCCTGGGCATGGTGCATCCCTTTGTCGTCAACATGGCCACATGTTGTTTCGTGTGATTCACACTAAGCTTTCCGAAGCTGTGTCTTGCTTTTCCCTGCCTGGATTAGTTCCGATGGCTCCCAGCCATAATTTGATAAATGTTTATGAATGGCTTGCTGATGTATGTCTCTGAGGCACTGTATCCCTGATGGGTAGAACAATGTCTGGCATTGAGTAGAAACTGGGAGTTTGTTTATGGAGTGTCAACAATGTCACTTTAGAGGTGAAAGCAGTGCTCCGAGTTAATTTTACTGAATAAATACTGAATTTTAGTCAATATTTGTTGCCATAAGAATTATTAGTCAAAAGAAAGAATTATTAGTCTACTGACATTAGAAAGTAAATACACAATGTATGGTTTCATAAAAATATATAACTGATAGTTTATTTGTAATAAATAACTAGTAGCCCAGGACACACCTCTCATTTATAGCTCGGGTTACATCTTCTAACAGTGGTGCACATGTTGTCACATGTATTTACCCTGAAAAGCGGGACAATTTCTAACACAGAGATCTTAAGGCTTGATTTCTGCTTTCTCTGAGCTTGATTCCGTTTCTTTGTTTTAAAAGTATCTGAAGAGGCCGAGAGAGAGGATGTAGCAGAGAAGAATTGGAAGAGACTGAATGATCTAGGCTCACTCGGAAACTAACCTGGCAGAATAGGTGATTTGAAAAGGGGACTTTGTAACTTCAGGAAGGAAACGCAGAGAGGTGGTTTACGCAGAGAGGTGGTTTGGGCTTTTGTTTGTTTGCTTGTTTTATTGTTTTCCCTTCTTTGCCCAGTACCGGGAAACTTGGGCCTCACTTGAGCCACCGGTCAAGCACTTCCCTACTGAGCTCTTTCCCCAGCCCCACTGCTATTTGTTTATGTTGAAACAGGATCTTACTAGTTGTCCAGGCTCACTGACCTTGGAGCTGTTCTGTCCCAGCCTCTAGAGCGGCTGGGATTACAGACTTGGACCAGCTGATCTGCCTTGGTCCTTGTTCATTGCAATAGTATTCTCTCTTGGAGGGAAACTAAAGAATGCTTACAGTTTGAGAAAGGGCTACTTTCAGATCTGTATATTTCTCCAGCGAAGGTTTTGTGTAAGGTTCAGAACTGATCGAAAGCCCCAGTCATTACTAAATGAGCTGGGGAGTAGAGCAAAACATGACCAGTGGATTCCAGGTGGGAATTAGGTGAAACAGCAGGACTAGGGGAAGAACGGAGAGCCACAGGAGAGGTACCATTTGAGGCCTTGAGAGACTGTTTCCTTTTACAGGTACTCAAATTTTATAGAAATCAATGTGAATAATTACTTTAGAGCCTTCTTTTTCACATTCTGTATTACCATAAACCAGTAAATTATTGGCTGTGATTTGTTTCAAAGCTCAGGGTGAGAGTACCATTTTGTTTTTGTTTTAAATAGAAGTGGCTGGGCGGTGGGTGCACGCACCTTTAATTCCAGCACTCAGGAAGCAAAGGCAGGCAGGTCTCTGAATTCAAGGCCAACCTGGTCTACAGAGTGAGTTCCAGGACAGTCAGAGATACATGGAGAAAACCTTGTTTCGAAGCCCCCCGCAAAAAGAGAAGTGAACTGCATCTTTGCATTTATGTGTAATTAGTGTTCGAAATCTGACTGTAAGGTTCTCAAAATAGCATGATGTCACACTTTTTCTGGAACTGGGTATGTCCTCACAAAACCTCTTACCCTGTTACTAACTATCTGCCCCCAAATCAGGATTGGAAAGGACCTTTAAGTGTGTGTGTATATATATATGTGTGTACACACACACACACACACACACACACACACACACACACACACGTACAGGACTGAATTTAGGAAACACTGGTTCACCTGGGGGCCTGCTGAAAGGGAGGACAATGAGGATTTGGCTCAGACCAGAAAGATCAGAATTGGCATGCCCAGCTGATGCCGATGGTTTTTAAGTGCTGCTCTGCAAATCCTGCCAAGTAGGCTGGGGAGCAGAGTAAGTATCTTTAGTAACGAGTGACTCACTAGCCCATGGTGAAACCTATTATTATCTTTAGGTAGCCTAAATCTTAGGAAATTCTCCCGAAGAAGGAGCTCAGACCTAGCTCTGTGAATAGCTTTCACACCACAGAATTCCTCTTCATGAAGATCCTTCAACCACGAGACTGGGCTCATTCTTGATCAAATGATTTTCCCTGGGAGTACCTACATCGCCATCTCCCAGCTGGTTTTGGTATGACATTGTTGGCTATTTCTTTATGATCTGTTCAGACTAAAGAGCCATGAAGAACCTTTCCAGCATTATAATTGTGATTCTTTTACTCCAGTTAGTCTGGAGTGGTATTTGGTAGAAGGTGAGAGAAACCCAGGAACTTTGCGTCCTAAATATTCATGGAAAGCAATTCGGTACAAATGTACAGATTTATCTTGATTCATTCTTTAAGTTCAAAGTTCTGCCTCATAGAACTGTTGCATGTAAGGGTGACCATCCAAAGCACTACTTCTGAGTTCTAAAAGGCTCAATTTCTTAGTACGTCTAAAGAGAAATAGTATATAATAGTATATGATAATGGTATTGTATATAAAAATAGTATTTTATCTTTTTGACAAGTTAAAAAAATTCTCCTCCATGACTCAAAACATTCACTAATTTGTGTTTCTCAGCAGGCTGTCAAGTGTTTGTTTACACATATACTGAGCTAGCCTAATGTACTCAACTTTGTAATCTATTTTTGGTGGACTCTATCTTTGCCTGGCACTCAGCACAATTATAATCAGCACAATTATTTACGTAGACTGCACAAATAAAAAGTCACCCCCTTTTTGTTTCTGTATAACTGTTTTCTAAGAGGTCTTCCCCCCAAATGTTTTTAACAGAAGCAAGCTTATGACTTTTGTTGGTTAGTCTGTGTTCCAGTTAACCTTATATAGAAAAGCTGTATGAGGAGCAGTCTTAAGTCTTAAATTTCTTTTCAGTTTTTTTTTTTTTGAGTTGGCCCATGGCACAGCTGACCCTAGGTGCTGGCTGAGCTTCTGCTGTGCCCATGCTGCTGTCTTGCTCATTATCCTGTTTCTGTTCTTCTCAACCCCCACCCCCATCTTCTTTCTTCAGTCTTAACCTCTGAAGGCTTTGAGAGCTTGGAGCCCTTCCTTTCACTTCTGCATTTAGCAGTAGAGCTGTGTGTGTGTGTGTGTGTGTGTGTGTGTGTATGTGTGTGTGTGGAGAGAGAGAGAGAGAGAGAGAGAGAGAGCCCGAAAGTTAGACAGCTGCTTCTTTCACTTCCAGTTTGCTTTGGATTAATTGGGCCGAACACGATATTTTTCAAAGAAATTGAGCTGGATCCTTTGGAAAATCAGTCTGGAAGGACAGAAATGTAACGTGGGGCTTGCTCAGCTGTTTGGTTTCGTGTTTATTTCATTTAGCTTTTGTGTTTGGTATTCTCATCATCCCATAACGCAGTCTTTAGGAACTCATAGTTGATCTGACTAAAGCAGCGTTCTTATTATATTCGTTACTGGTTTCACCTCCCTGCAGCCTAGCCCTCCCCTAAATGTGCCACCTCTGTGTTTTGTTTCAGCGCTTGCAACTGAAGCTGCAGCACACCGCCTCACCGTGGATCGTTTCCAGCAGGCAGACCTCCACATGTCGGCAGTAGGCTCCTGATGCAGTCCCTCCTCCTCCTCCATCCCTCCGCACTGTTCTCAAAGAGAGTGGGCCTTCAAGAAACACACCCCAAAAGTGCAGGTTGGTGGAGGCCACTCAGCCTTGTCTCGGGCTGCTTAGCTGTGAGTCTCAATGCGGGAAATGCGGAGTTCCTTGCAGGTGGCACGAATGTGTCTGTCTCCAGCTGCCTGCTGTTTTCAAGCTCTGCAGGTGGCTGCAAAGCTCAGAAGACGTAAACCAGTCCGTTTATGTCTATCCAGAAGGCAGGCTACTGAGGTTGGGAAACTTTGTTTGTTTGTTTGTTTGATAAATTTCATGCACCAACTCATCATTTATTCGGAGAAAGCTTTAAAGCAAAAAAAAAAATCCATCAGGAATCATTCACTTAAAAACAAACCCCACGAGCTCTTGCGAATTTGTTAACAGTGCATCCCTTTAAGTCCTTTGTTAGGTTGTGTCTCTGTGTGTCTCTGTATGATCCCGAGTGCCATTGAGGTTTTGTCTCTGGGCGCATCTGTATGATCCTGAGCGCCATTGAGCATGCTCGTGTGCCAACACGCATGCTGCGGAGGCCAGCAGACTAGCATCAGGAGTCAGCTCTCTCCTTCTACCAAGTGGGTCCGAAAGACCAAACTCCGGTTGTCAGTCTTTGTGGAAGGCAGCTTTCCTCACTAAGTCAGAGGTTCTCAACCTTCCTAATGCTGCAGTCCTTTAGTACAGTTCCTCATGTTGTAGAGACCCTCAACCATATAATTATTTCGTTGCTACTGATATGAATCATAACATAAATATCTGCTATGCACAATGGTTGAGAGCCACCGTGCTAAGCCATCTTGCTGGCTCAACATCTTATTTGCAAATCTTTTTGTATAGGACACATCTGGATTGAGGGTATTATGCTTTAGCAACACCCTAAATATTTAAATTTAGCAATTTAAATATTCACTGTGCTCTTGGAATTTAGTCCTTGAGAACTTCTTGAGTTCTTGTTTATTAATCCTGATACGATATGATTTGTGGTGTTTCATAGCCCACCACCACCCCAGAATAACCCCGGGTCTTACGCTTCACTATAGTGAACCTAGACTTGGATGGTCAGATGAGATCCTCGGTTTCTTTCTGCTACCAACCTGTTGATGGAATCCGACCTGTAATCTTGATTTTGCCATTCTTGTCAGTCTTCCCATTTTTTGGCATCAAGGAGATGGAATGATTTTGAGAGTCTCTATAATAACAAAAGTCAAAGATTCAAGTCCCAGCCCTGCTGCCGACATTGTTGGTGTCCATGGGCAGGTTTTGTCCCTTCTGTGTAGTGTCTCCATCAGGTTGAGAGGGATGGAAAAATAAATACCCATTTTAGAGGCTGATTTTGATGACTAAAGGTCTCTACATCTACAATATTCAGAACCGTCTTGCCAGCAAAAAGTTCTGAGAAAAGGGTTTGGTAAATTTTAGCTCCTTGTTGTGATCTGCTGCTCAGTGTGCTGATGGGGTTTTGACAGGCTGGGAAGAGGAAACCTCAGCTGAGAAAAGGCCTCCACTTGTGGGAAGGCCTGGCCCATTGTGGGCTTCAGTTCCTCCCACCGGGTTCCTCCCCTGACTTCCCATTACAGATGGACCATCATCTGTGACACTCCCCACGTTGCTTTTGACCAGTGTTTTATCACAGCCATAAAAAGCAGACTACTGTGTGCATACTATGTCTGTATCCATTTGCTGGCCCTAGAGCTTGTAGGCTTTCCAGTCTTCACCCTCACCTTGTTAAACGTGTTGAGTCGCAGTATTTGCTTCCACATCTAGAACACAAAAGCTAACTCTTTCTCAACACAATAAGAGATCTTAGTATAAGATGAACCTATTCACCAGCTTAGATTATTTGTAAGGGTTTTGATTTTGTTTCTAATTTTTAGACAAATGTGAAGCAAGGAGGGGTGATAAGCATCAGTGATCCCAGCAATTGGGAAGTGGAGGCAGAGGGGTCAGCCAGACTGGCTGTGTATAGTGAGCGTGAGGAACAACTAGCTATGGGATACCTGCTTCAAGAAGAAACGGAAAGGATTTGAAATGCTGACTATAAATTGGGATTTGCTTGATTTTTATTGTCACTCAGTAGCTGTGTAGTTTTATTATGAAAATGATAAAGAAGGTATTGTTTCCCTGGCAGAAGTAGGATTTAATTTTGAATTTCGCCAAAGAATTCCCACTTCTGTTTGGGATGCTTTTAATTTTACATTCAGAAGTATGTAATTAAGGGAGACTTCCTGTCAGTAGACACTTAGAAATGTCAAAATTAGTGTACAGACATAATTGTTACTGTGGTGACAGAGACTGAATTTTTGAGGTTATTATTAGCATTATGTCACGAGTTCTGTAAGATCCTTACCTTTTGTGTTTTCAAGACAGTTTTGGGTAAAGACTTGGTGTATGGCCAGTTTCACTAATTCTAAAAGAAACATCAAAATAAGATTTAAAAGTTCTTACAACCTGCCAGTTGCTTTAATTGCATGCATTAGTTGTAACACTTCCGTTACATAACTAGTCCCCATTTTGTAGAGGACAAAGAGACACAAAGCAGCCAAGCAGATTCCAGAGTCTTTCGAGTAGTCAGGAATCGCAGAGACTGAAATCTAAGGTGTTCAACTGACAGGCGATCTGAACGCTCAATTGTGTTGCTGCCTACAAACTGCAAATTGCATGAAAAAGATGGGGAGCAGTCAATGGAAGGGCTAAATGATATAGAAGTCTAGGATTCTGGCCTCAGCGGTTTTATGGGTATGTGGTAGACAGTCAGTGAAAGTCTCACTGTGGGTTCTTGGCAGGATGGGGACCGACTGCACGTGGAGAGCTGGAGGCCAGCCCTAACACGTGGGCTGGCTTAAAGCGAACATTAGAGGTCATTCCGAGTAGCTGAGTGATCCGTAATGAGAATAAGGGTTTGAGAAACAAGATTAAGATAGCTGCCTGGGAGCTTGAGTGTGGATTGGCAGAGGTGGAAGTGGGTGGAGATCTAGAAGCATGCAGAGAAACGACGAACAACACAGGCTCTTGTGGCACCACCCAGAGGGAAGTGGGCTGGATATTTAACACCATAGAGATCAGCAAGCATGGGACAAAAGAAAGACCAATGACGTCAGCAGTACCATTTAATTCCCTACTGATTTGTTTATTCGTTCTGTTACTGAAGGCTAAACACTTCTGATGAGTTTTTAGGTTTCTTTTTCACAACCTTGGCTGTTCCTCTGTAGTTTAGTACTTAGGGCCACATTCTGTCTAAGTGTCCTAAACTTTTGATTCCTTCTTAGCTCTAAGATTGTCATTTCTGGATCCAAGCTGTAAATCGCAGTAACTGGAAATACGTTGTCAGAATTTGAGCCGTGATTCATTTGGCACTTTAAAAAAGACTTTTGTTTCTATTTGTTTTTATTTATTTACTTATTTGATATGTGTGTGTGTGTGTGTGTGTGTGTATGTTTGTGTGAAGAAACAGAGAGGAGGGAGGGAAGGAGACATGTTACCAAGATAATTTATGGAGGTTGGTTCTCTCCTTTAATCATGTGGGTCCTGGGGTTGAGCTCAGGTTCAAAAGTGGTTCTCCACATTTCCTCCCCCAAACATGAGCAGATCATGGGACAGTGGTAGTAGGTAGGGGATTGAAGTGGCAGTTCTGCAGGCTCAACCACATCTGGTGAGTTCACAGATAAACCACAGACACAGAGCCCAGCTCTTCTTCAACTCTCCCTTATCCTCAAAGGGTGTTTCGTTTGTTTCTTCCAAGAAATGTCTATTCATTTGCCATTTTGAAAGATGCCTAAAGGCTGAAGCATGGGAGTTGGAAGAAACTTCTAAAATCTCAAAACCCCTGGTTTTCATGAGGGCCTGACCCTCTCAGTGGGGTCCTGTGACTTCCAGCAGGGCTTTGGAAGCATGCATCACCAGGCATCTGTAAAAGTCCCTCTTCTGACTCAGAGGACCAGAGAGTGTAAGAGGGTGAATTTCCCTGCCTTCCTGGGCCGTACTGAGTACTAGGGAAGTGAGATATTATTTTTAACCAGTAACAGATAGCTAAAATGATTTTTGACTTTGTGTAGCTTAATTTCTGTACCGCACGGACTGCTGTTCTCTATATCCTGAGGGCACATATGCATTACATATAACTATATGTTTCTAATCAATGTATTTTCTTTCATGCAGTTAGAGCGTCTTTTCCCAATAGTATATTAAAATAGAAAAATAGGTCAGGCTATTGCTAAAGATGACTCATGCTAGTAATCCCAGCACATGAGCAGTAGACACAATAGAATCGGGAATTCAAGTTTAACTTCTGCTACAATAGTGAGTTGAAGGCCAGCCTGGGCTACATGAAACTGTCTCAAAAAAAAAAAAATTCCATTCTAAAATAAGTGGATCACCAGGCAGGGGTGGCACATATCTTTAATCCCAGAACTCAGGATGCATATCTCTGAGTTTGAGGACAACCTGGTCTGCAGAGTGAGTTCTAGGACAGCACAGAGAAACCCTATAGTGGTGTAGGAGGGTCTTCTTTCTATGTGTTGCAAGGGGGGGGGGAGGAGGGAGGGCGGGCGGCAAGGAGGGAGAGAGAGAGAGGTTTCTGAGATGAGAAACATAAATAGATAGACAGGAAGATTGATAGAAGTGCATCCCTGAGAGAAAACAGGAGTACACAGAGGGAGTAGAAAACTTCCTTGTGTATGTGCAATGGGGCAGAGTATCAAAGAGTATCAAGAGAGAGGTTCCAAGAATAGGAACTTTAGTTCATTTATTTTTAGCATGCGATATTTTAGCATCCAATACAGTTGCTGATAGCTGAATGGTTTTTGTGCCTGCTGTGCTATTAAAAATAAAAATTATGCTGCAAGTCATTTCTCTCCTTTTCATGTGCTCCGTGAGCATGTCCCCTGTGGGTAGGGCTGGGGGAATGTGGGGGTTTCGTCATCTGCTTTGACAATGGCAGCTTACATTCAAGTAGATGGAAAAGGTTGTCTGCATATGCTCAGGATGAAATCTACCCAGCAGAGCACTGGCTTTCTGCACAGACTGAAAGAGAACGGTGTGTGTGGCTG